AATAATATAACCCAGTTATAAAAACCAGTCGGATCGCCCGGCTGTCGCCGGGCGCTCCTCCTTCTGTGACATGGCCCGCTTCGCCGGGCCATGCGGATTTGCCGCGTGCTAAGTTACGGATCGTTGACCAACCACACTGTTCAGAGGAATCTTCTGCATCAGCAAAGCAGCGCTCGTTCCGTCAAGATGCAGAAGCAACAGCAGCGCCCGTCGCATCACAGAAGGGGGAGAGCCGGCCTTAGCCAGCGATCCGACTACGTTCATAACCTACACGGGAATATTGCAGCCTGTTAGGATAGCCGCTGAAGCAGCCTATAATTCATGCATTCTGTCCTCTTAAAGCGTCTTGCTTTGGAATGCACTCCCGCATTCAGCAGAACCCTTTAAATGGCCCTCACTAAGGTTGTTGATGGAAGATAATTGTGGTAAGAGTGATTAAGTCAATTGCTGCTGTTCATAACATCTCTGTAAACAAACCCCATGCATTTGGAATAGAGCTAGCTTAGCGGTCGTACATGATGTCGTTACTAATAAGCAGTGAGGAATGAGTTCTGTTGGAATCATTGAGATCGTTATACTTGAGTCATATCGATCGCATTGTTGTTGTGAGCGGTGAAGCGGATTTTCCCATGTTACCTTGTCACTTTTAGCTCCTATCACTTCCGTACCCGCCAATAATATTCCCGTCCCGTATCACTATCATATCACCCTATATCGCCTCTCGGATCCGAGGTCCCACTGTTGCTGTAACCTGCGTTACGAATTTGATGACCCTCCCCTTCCGAGGCCGCTTATCGTATCTTATCAACTGTTATCACTTTCTGTCGCCCGCCAATAATGTTCCCGTCCCACATATATCACCTCTCGGATCCAAGGTCCCGCTGTTGCTGAACTGCGTTATAAATTTGGTAGTCCTTCCCTTCTAATGCCCATTATCACTTATCAGCTGATATCACATCCTGTCACCTACCAATAATGTTTTCGTCCCACCCCCTATTTCACTGCTCGGAACCAACGTCCCACTGCTGCTGTGGCCCGCACTATGGACTGGGTGACCATCCCCTTTGGACGCCTCTTATCGAATCTTATCAACTGATATCACATCCTGTCACCCACCAATGGTGTTCCCGTCACACCCGTGCTACTGGGACAGGTGTTTGAATTTCGTGACCACACACACACAGACAGACACACACACGCAGACGCACTTAGCGGATAATATATATTAGGATCTTGCACAGTCATTTCGGATATGCTTATTTTGAAACAGTCGGCACACAGCTGCTATTATTTACATTTTTATAACGAAAACTTTCAGCATTTCTCATGCTGTTTTACCCATTCTCTCGAACTTTCTTGATGAACTATTTTCATTCACACACTACGCAACCTGAGAGAAACTATTTAGCTTTAGTGAAATGTTAGGTTGTCCCAAGAACTTTCGCACATTTTTTTCGAGTTAAGTTTATTCCAGTGGGAAGCAATTTTGATCAACTGTATATATGTCACCTTCATTGGCAACTTGTTGCCAATCACTACGCAATGTGTGGTTGCCCTGCTTCCAGAAGCCTCTTGGTTCTGTGCCCAGAAAGGCAGCTGGGTCATTTTTGAGGTACTATCAAAAATCGTATTTTTTACCCAGAAGATGGCCGCTGTGGGATTAGTTTAGATGGCGATCGGAAAGAGCTAAGTCAGGGCTACACGAAGACTGTGGTGGAATTCCCCAGCTAAGCTTCGGGATCTCGAGCAGTGTCGTTTTCCAAATGTGTGACCCTGAGCTGTGGGGTGGAGTAAACATTGCTCGGTTTTGGGACCAAATGGTAGAGATTTTTACCCCCCCCCCCCTCTGCTGTTGATTACAGTAGGGTTCCCTGGTCACCACAGCGTTGGAAGGAAGAAATTCCGTTTTGGGAAGGGAGAGAGAAACCCCACCACATACACAGTCTCACCGCCCTACTGGATTGATAGGATTGCGCGATCGGTTCTGCCCTTTCTGGGGGATCTAGCCGCTGGCGCTCCCAGGAGTGATTCACCTAGAGGCACCCACTCCATATCCAGTTACAGTGCTGTTCAACCAGTCCGTACAGCGGAAGCGGGAGAGAAGTTGTAGACAGTACCCACATGTGCTCCCCTTGGAGTACTGGTCAACTCATGAGAAAAATTTTGACCGAACTTCAAAACTTTTCTAAGGAAGCGAGGCCCTCTCTCATTTGTGCCCATTGGGACCAGTCAAGTAAGGCTAGATGGCACTTTGATTTGTTCGATTGGTTTTAATCAAGGAACACAGTAGGTCCAAATCCAAGGCAGGTGGCCTCCTTGGACGAAGTTTTTCACCCGATAGAAGTCACTAAAGCGGAAGCAATTGGGCCATTCCAAAGCCGTACTGTGGAAGGTAACATCAAGATCTAAATAAGGGAAATGCCGCTTATGGCTCCAACCACGTTGTGGCTTGGTAGAGATTCATATAGCGAAGTGTGTCGAAAATGATGAATTTCAATTACCGTTTTTCATATGAGAACAGCGACTGCGAGGGACGGTGAAGAAGCTGTGGAATGCTTACCTCACACACTTCCCATAGACCACATAACTGGATCTCGAAATGGCTGCGGAAAGATCTGATACGAGATTCAAAAAGTGTACGAACTTTTGGGACAACCTAATATTTGAACCCGCCATCGAACCCAACAACATTTGATACCTACCTTGATAGATTCGGCCTTCTGGAAATGAGAAAGCGCTTCTTCATAATTCTTCTTCTTGTAGTGAGCAACACCTGCAAATAACGATGATAGGATGACACTCAAGCGTTACTTCCTCTTTTTAGTGGCATACAAGCAGACAACTGACCCAACAGGAACGCTGCATAAGCGTCGTCCTGATCGAGGCTAACGGCTATCTCCAAGTGCTTCACAATTTCGGTCGAGTGATCGGCTTTAGGATTAAGTTCGTCCACAGCTGAAAGGGCGATGGCATACCTGAAAGTGTCAGTCGATAACTACAACAAAAGCCGGGGTTTGATAGAAATCGAACAACTTATAATAGTACTGAAAAAGAACCATTTGTGGGCTCCGGCGCAAGGCTTCTCGGTTTCAAAGGACAGGGCCTTCTTTGCGCATTCCTTAGCCTGAAGTGAAGACATTACATTTGCTTGCAGTTTGCGAAGTGTGAAATTACATAAAATCCTTCACGTAATCAAAAGGAAGGGTAGCTCCTGAAATGGAAATGTGATCACAACTATTGAGAAACCAAGGAAAACAAAGTGAGACAAAAAAATCAAGAGAGAACCACTGAACACTAATATTTTTGTGTAGTATTTCGCAAAGTTCTAGAAAGCGCGCCAACACCAGCTAACGTACCTCATGAACTAAATGCTCCCTTTCAGTTGGACACTTGGTAAAATAAGACTTTTCTATCAATGCTCTAGCCATCCGCCAGTGAATTTCGATATTAGAAATGTGAGCATATCTAAATGCAGATAATAACTACACGGTGATTCGAAGTGGTCACACAGGCAGTATAGATTAGAGCTACAGCCTGAGAGGAACAGATCTAATTAGGGGTTTTGCACATTTTGGCTCGCATTCATACTCGAGCGATGTTCAACTCGCAAGACTGAGCCGACCGCTTCTTCATGTAATCTTTAATTTCAGGTCCACGGGAAAAATTTTTTTACGGAGCCAGCATTGCATCGATTGGCGACGAAACGCGATCTGCAATTGAGAAATCGCTCATGTCGCAAAGCATGAACGCGAGCTTGAAAAGGTTATCACCTAAAAGAATCTCCCGATGCTGACAAATGAAGATAAAGAAAATGAGAAGAGAATGGAGATGGCGTTAGTGTAGTCGCAGTAGAGGTACTTTTTTATGAGCACCCATCTATCGATATATGTCTGTATAATAGCTCCCATGAGGGCTAACAAACACGACCTTCAGAATAACCTCGTGGATGACCAGACCAAAAAGCTTATCATAAGTTGACAATATCTCTCCTACTTTTTGAGAGTTTCATAGGCATCATTCACAAGCATTGGAGAAGTATTGTAACCGTGGCGGCCCATTCGCTTCAGAGTGTCTTCCAACGCGAGGACATCTTTCCGATACCTAAACAATGACCGTGAAATCTTTAGAATTTGGAAGCGAATAATTTGTTCTAGTGCAACAAAAATCAGTGCTTTACAACATTCATTGCACTAAGGAAATTCGGAGTCATATTTTACAATCCAGACCGTTTTCTTCCCAAAACTCACAAAGTACTGAACTTGTGAATCTAGCACAGCGCAAGGAAGAAAGCGCACCAATTTGAGCTGGAGCTTCCGCAAGCTAAACCGCACTCCTTCGCTTCCTTATGGAAACTTTACCAGTAATGCCTCCAGTAGTTGGGACTCAAAGAGAATCTAATTGATACTTGAACATTCTCGACACGATGTTTCCCCACATTTTGTCGTTGACGCACTTAGTGTTAAGATCAAAGGATATGTCATACATGAGTAATTTTGCTGGATATGTATCAATATGAGAAGCAGCCAGTTCCACCCCCACTCCCCTAACACTTTATTAACCCTTTACTGGTAACTAGTCTAACTGAACAATTGGTACGTCAGAAATCCACTCCGAAATGATAGCAGTTCACCAGAATCGCCACTTCTTTAAAAGGATGGTTAAGGTCCGTAAAGTTCCAAACTGCAGGATTCTGCGTTCAAAAAGACAACACCTAGGAACGAGGGTTTCCTAGGGAAGGTGACATAGGGGGGCGAGCAAAGTTATGGAAAGATTCGAGAAATCTGAATTACTAACCATTCCGGCTTCTTGGACAGCTGCTTGTCCGTGAGGGCGACACCAGCTGCACACATCTGCACTCCTGCAGCGCTAGCAGCAATTCGACCAATCACATTACGGAACATCCTCCTACCTGATAATGGAACAGCATTAATTATTAGGAATGATTACAATGTGACAACTAAAAGACCAGTACGGACAAACAGCGCCCACTTAATTAATACGCGATTATGTAAATAAAAATAAATCTGTCACCAGTGTGAACAAGCCTTCCTTCAACGAAGGAAGGCGTCTTTGCGTTCACATATATGTACTACTGCAGTAAAAAGAAATTAGCGTGCTGATGGTCATGCGATTGCCCGACTGGGATTTCACATAAGCCTGAGCCAGCCATCTCCAAATTAGACGTGGGAAATTATCTCACGGATTCTAGAAATATTAACGATCGACGTGGTGAGTATGACCGCGTTTAGACTTCGCGAACGTGCGGTTGGATCGCGCGACCACGACCGGGACGCTCCACCGCCAAGCAGTGCGCCGCCGCCGACTGGAATTCAGATTCAGAGGATCCGGTCGACAGATGTCTTGTAACCAGTTCAAACTAAGACGGTGTAGCCCCTGTCTACATATTGCTAGTTTGAACTAGTTACAAGACATCTGTCGACCGGATGCTCTCTCCTTGTGAGGTCCAGAGCTGGTTTTTCATCGCATCTTCTGTTCGAGCATCTAGAGGAAGGAAAATAAAGAAGAAGGATGAGAGAAGGAAGGAAGAAAAAGAAGGAAAGGAAGGAAAAAGGAAGGAGGAGGAAGGCTCCGCGGTTGAGAGATATCCTGAGACCGTTTGAACTGCGCCGTTGCGGCGGTGCACCGTTCGGCAGAGCATTTCCTGCTGTAGAGGAAAAATTCTGCAAAGTAAAACCGCCTCCCGTGGTACCTCCCCCCGCTTCCTCATCCTGTCACCATCCTCATTCCTCATCATCCTCATCTGTCATTCCGCGGATTCAGGGGAATACGCAGAATTTTAAAATCGATACGTATCTTTGGTTTTCCGCAAATTCCGCGGAATGCGCGTGTATGAACGCAGCCTAACTTTGCTCATGTTAGACTGAAAAACAACAAAAGACGACGACAATTCGTCTCTTATTCCAGGCGAGAGTCAGAACAAAAAGCAGAAATCAGTAGAACCCTGTCTCCAAAAACTACTTCATAACAAGAAAGAAAACGAAAATGTAAAGCTGCAAGAAGTAAAAACCAAACTCAGGAAATTCAGAAAGGCGGCGACTTATAGTGAATACTGGCTGACCTCTAGACTAGGGAATCCACGAGTCTTGAAATTTCCATTCGAGGTTTTTTGAGTGGACCTTCGGAGCTCAAGAAGTACTCGTTTGCTTCCACATGCATAACGGAGAAAAAAACCGTGGTGCTAACGTATTTTGGAGGGGCCACGCCAGGATACGCCATCGTTGTGATCATCACAAGGGGGGTCGTATTTGGTCAGAGAAAATTTTTTTGATAGTTGATTTCTCTTGTTTCACGGACGCTGTAAAGGGGGGGGGGTCGTACTTGGTCAGTTCACGGACGCACTACTATTTCCGACACTTGAAAATGATAGTTTAATTCTGACGACCTCCCCCCCGCTCGACGGCTCGGTTCGATGAGGAAGGACAGAGGGCTGGGAGGGGGGGGGGGGGGGTCGTACCAACTCCCAAAAAGGGGGGGGGGGTCGTATTTTAGTATGGAATTAGGGGGGTCGTAATTTTCAGAAAATGATCACAACGCGATGGCGTGCCCTGGGCCACGCGGCTCGCGGCGGGGGATGACTCATCGGCTCTTCACTCATTGACATACTTGGAGCGCTAATCTAGCAGCAAAATTAGAATAAAACAAAAGATTCCGGAATACTTGCTGAGAAATCCCACAGAAGCTGAGAACAACAAATGTTTGATCTTTTGTAGTCAAGAATAACGGTCAACATCAAAAAGGCAACAATCGTTGGTAGTTTAGGCAAAATCTTCCAGCCTACAACTGTTTCTTCGCACTTTTCAGCCTTAACTGTTTTAGCTTTTGAATATAGCTAGGACGGTGTTATATCCATGTCCTAAACATGAAATTACTTCTATTTTGCCGAGGAGAAGCAGAAGAGTCTCCCACTCGCCCCGCACTATGTAATTCACAAACAATCAGCTCGAGCTGCGGGATAGACAAGCCCCAGCTTACCAGAAGAGCAGTCGGAATGCGGCTGCGGCTATACCACTGTGAAAGTAAGAAGTATGCAGCGAAAATCCCAGAGCAGGGCTGCCTGTTCTAGAACAATCTTGGGCCTCAACATAGGTTGCACTGAAGTCGCGAATAAATGTGCTTTGTGTGCATCTACGAACAATCCATGGGCATTACTGTAATTAGACATTTTTTGCTGGGGAAATCAAAAACGGATAACCTCAGTTGCGCTACTCCCGGAGAGTGCGGGGACTGTTCCCTAACTTGCTGCCAAGACATCGCAAGCCAGCGAGCGTGTTTGAAGTGAAAAGACCTACACGAAAATCGGGAAGGAAGTTCAAACATCGTGCAAGTAAATCGCAAAGAAGTTTTCAGTCGTAAAAATGAAAAAAGGTTCGAATTCCGACTAGAATACTCCCGGGTGGCGTAGAGGCGGCTGTGAAGGAAAGCGAGTTGTTGATCAATAGCGACGAACGGCTGCAATACACCGTTCGTTCTTTCACCCTGACGACTCGTCGTCCGATTAAAAACCAGCTGCCTTACACCATGAGCAATATTCCCAGAAGAGTTCGGGTCAAAATTAGGGCACATTAACGAGCAAATTCACTAAAAATTACCCCCTGGTAACTGCGGCCGGAAGTTCAAACGGCTGTGGCGCGACAATTATGGGACTATTCGTACTTTTTATCGTGGTTCTGCTCCTAAATGACAGAGCGCAGACAGATGAGGGGCAGCCAGATAGCTGGCAGAGCAGTGAAAGGTATGAGCCATTCTCTGTAGGGAAATTTTTTTCAAAAAACAACCGTCAACATCGGGGTGTTACGGGTGCGTGACAAAAGAATCGTAATCAGGGCGCATCATTAGTTGGGGACTTTGGTGGAAACCGTACGACCCCTCTAGAGGGTGGCTTGATACGACCCACCCCTCCTAAGTACCACATTCCTAGATTTTCCCAACCTCTTACCGCTTTTTTTCGGAATTTTGCGAGAATTTTCTAGTTTTTCTTCAAAATTTTGCTGTAGGGGGGAGGTGGGGTGGAGCGGGAAGAGAGGTATGTAATACATATGAAACAGGGAAAACCACAAAAAGTCAACCTCTCCCAGAGGCTAAGAGCTAAATACGACCCCCTCCTGGGTTATGCCGTTTGGACTCCAGCAATTTTGGCACCGAGCTCATCATCAAATTGCCTAAGTCACCAAACCCGCTGAAAACATGTACGCAAGTGATGTTTACCATCGTGATTACAATTCTGACACTCATTCTTGGCGCCGGGGCCAAGGGATGACACTACGATCACCTCTTGGGCTCAGCCTTAGCGGAGCGCAGATAATCGTAGTGTCATCCATTAGCGCCAGCGGCAAGAGTGAATGTCATATTCGTAATCAGGATGTTAAACTACCCCCAACAAATCTTAGCGATCTGGTGACTTACGGCAATATTTAACAAATGCGAGCTCGGTGCCGAAATTGCTGGGGATCCAACCGGATTAGCCCTCCCCCCCCTCCTCTCACCAACCAACAACGAGCAATTACGACCCCCCTGTTTGGGAATCCCCCAACGCGCCGCGCTGATGGGTGTCGCGTGCGACGTCGCTCCCACAAATGACGATTCTGGGTCCAGGATGACGACAACAGACAATGTAGAACCGGGAATACCCATAAATGTCTACAGTTTTGTGTAGCCCACGAAATCCGGTGCTCCAGTGCTTCAATCGACAGCCAACACAAATCAGGAAGACGCTGTCCCCCTGCTTACGCGCGGCGGAGCAGCAAATTATCGATTCTTGCCCGTCCGGCCCTAATACGCCGGCTCTCTGGCACTTGCCAAAACTACTGAAGCGCATCCGTCTCAGAGCATTGTCAAGCGCAAAGCTTCCCTTCTCCTTTCTTTTTCCCTTCCTCCTTCCAGCTTTCCTTGTCTGGACCTCGCAGTGAGAACCAGAGATATTAGTCCGGTTGACAAAAGCCCTTTCACCGAAGGCGATCAGGTCTACACTCTCTCCAAGATTATTGTACACGAAATCTAAGACGGAGAAAACGCTACTAGAGAAGAGGGCGCAGAAAGACGTAGTCGTGTGTGCCTCTGACCGTGCCACTTTAGCGCTTTAATTAGCGAAACATGATCATTGCAGGGTGCAAGAAATTATTCCAGCGGCTGTAAGCGAATTTCTTGGAAAATACAATCCCTCCCGTAGCGACCGAATACCGATCTCCTCCGGGGATTTCCCAACGTATGACATGGTCTGTATACTTAATTCCGTTCCCTGCCTAGTACAAGTGTGCATATTTACTAGATTTAAAACCTTCATTTTGGAAATAATACTAGCCTAATTCTATCTTGCAACCGAACCGTATTTGAACCCATGAACTCAAGGTAGCGACCCGCATCCTTTTATCAGAAATTGTCCCTGTCTGATGGAGGACCTTCCAGCAGCCCGGATCTCAATTATTTAGGCTGGCATGTAAATGGAGTAGCGAGTCTGTATGAAGAAGCGAGTCGACACCTGTATCAAAACTGATCACATTAACCTCGAAAAGACTCACGTATATTTTGCCACCCTGTAGAGACGCAGACGAGTAGTGCTCCAAACTAGACGGCCAGCGCCAACGACCAAAATCGACATGGCGTGTCAGTGCGACGTGCATTTGGAGAGGCGCCAGCTCATTTCCTACCAATCATCGCTCGCTTCACCTAGTAGCGACTGTTAGAAAACGAAAAGCCGCGTAAGAAGTATTCGAGACACAAATAGAAACCTCGTTCTGCAGCCGATTCGTCAAGAGAAACGATTCTGTGGTTTCGGCTTTATTTTTTCCGTTCTTTGTTTCATCTAACCATAAGGTTGTAGTTCGCTTGCGCATAACATTTTGTTTTGAACTGCTCAAAGATCAAAGAGTAGCGCATTTCAAAGAGTGATCTTCACATGCAGTTCTGCCTATACCGTTAATGATTGCTCTTGGGTTTTTTAATCAACTTGTGCTTATTATCTTATTACAGCATCTTTCTCTTCTGCCATTGGATCTAGTCTTCAAGGCAAAGCTGCTCCATTTAATTTGCGTCAGAAGCGCTGCGGCCGCGAAGCGTCGGAGCGAGCCATGGAGTTCTAAAATGAACCACCACTAGAAAACCTGTAAAACTTGTTCAAGTACTTGTCCTACCTTTTCATAGATTACTCTAGTGCTATCTTCCGCTTTTGGTGTGCCTCGCCTACGCGCAAAGCTTCTTCTCTTCCATTCCTGTGTTTAAAGGAATTTTTTTTGTGGGAAATACCTGCTGGATCTTTGACTGTTGCTGTTGCTTTATCCTTCTCATTTATTCCTGTAGATGATTATTTGTATTGCAAAGCTCTAAACTTTCACAACTTGATTTGCAAACTAATTGGTAATCATCCAGTTGTCATTTCTAAAGTCTTTGTGTTTTATAATATTTAACAACAGAATGTGATATAACATGACATTTGAACAGAAGTTGCCTTTTTTTCAGTGATGGTCTCTCCTGATGAAGGATTCAGTTCTGATGAAGAAGTGAATGGGCCAACAAAACCCCTGACGAAAAAAGAGAAGCAGGTAATGCCTTTTCACTGTTTTGCAAACAGCATGTCTACCGCAACCACTTACTATGGAAGCACTTAATTTGATTCCTTTGAGGAAAGTCAAGTCTTATAGGAGTTGGAGCGTCGTCGGCTGAAGAACAAGAAAAAGAAGTTGTCAAAACGACGGCGTGGAGCAGTAGAGGATGGCGAAACGGTCAATGATGCTGCTGCTGGTCCGGAGAAGCAGGAGTCTGACGCAGACGCACAAAACGAAGGAGAACCAAACGGGCCTAAAACACTGGTGCGTCCAAAAACAACTCTTTGTGTCGTGATTGACCTTTTGAAAGAGCTCGAACGAAAAATTTGTCGCTGAAAAAAGCATAGCTCCAAAACAGGTCTGATGCTTTATTTTTCCTAAGGGATTTGTCTAAATGAACCTGTGACGTAAATCTCAACTCCGGGAGGGGTTCGAACCTACACCTCACGCTTCCGGACGAGTGCGCGATCCATTACGCCACCTTGGTTGAGTGTTTTTGTGCGATAGCTTTACAGCAGTCACTCGTTTTTGTGATGATTATTTTGTTGAATCTGTCCTTATTTTTTTCTTTGATGTTTCACAACGAGGCAACCGCTCCCTCAGGCCAAGTTCGTTACAGAAAGATTCCGTCCAATGCTTAAAATCTGCAAAACAGTAATGCTACATTTCGATTAACAGAGGGAGAGGGGGGACTAAGGTCGCCTCTATTCCTAGACCCGTCCGCACGGCGCGTGTCGCGCGCGGTCCCCTTGACACGCTGCCGGTTTCACTAGTGACGGGCGTTATTGAGAAGCAATCTCTCTGATGCGGAGTATAGCTGTTGATAGGGTAGTCCATGAATAACACGCTTACAAGTGCAAATTCATCGATAAGAGATCAGAGTAAGGTAGCTGTTTTCTCCTGTAATTCTAAATGTTCCTAGAATTCCCCATCATGGACAAAATGACCAACTTTGATTCGAAATTGGATGACTGGAATAAAAACCGTAGGCACACAATATCGATAAGGAGCAATCTACACAGCGGTTGCCAAGGATGGCCGGAACCCTAACTTGTTTGGATCATTGCGAGTACGCTCATTAGAGAAGCGAATACGGGCCATAAGATGAGGTGCTTTGATCGCTCCTAAGGGTACCTTCTCATCGAGCCATTCCTGTCGGAGCGGGAGAGGGCGGGGCGAGCAGGGCGCTACGCAATTCTGGGAGACGATTTTCACCAACATGAAGGGTTTTGCCAAACTCATCTACTTTGACATCCACTGACAGTGAGAAGTCGTTGGTTCTATTAATATGAAACACCTTCAGATAGTGAGGTCGTGAGGTTTAGGGAACTAAGTTCACATTAGCTGAGACTTTTTCGAGGGAATCAGTGGGTTTCAAAGAGTGAGCGTGATGTCCCAGTTAGTCAAATAGCTGACCGAAATTAGGGTGTCACGCAAAGAGCATGTCCTTGTAATGGATGTTCAGAAGCAAGACCGCTCACAGAACTTTCGAAGAAAGCTGACATCCATTTCACGCCCTGTCTCTGCATATCCGAACCCCTCCAATGCTTTTCGATGTCTATTCTTCATTTTTGTTGCACTTCTTTATATTCAAAATGTGAAAGCTTTATAAGCTTGTGAAGGCCCGCCCATCACAGGAACCGGTGGCGGTGGCCCCTACTTCCAACCTTAACTTTCATTCCTTAGCATTCTCACAAGGTTAACCATACAGGCGAGTCATTTCTACACCATTTCAACTTCGCGTCCTCGTTTCCTGCACGCAATCTCTGTCGTAGACGCATCCGAAACACGAGTCGAAGACCCAACATGCAAAGGCCACCCTGCGCGCGACGCGCGCCGTGCGGACGGGGCTCTTAGACACAGAGGGGGGGGGACAATCGATTTCCATGTTTGCTTCTTCGATTTCGCCAGTTCTTCCAGTTCCGCGCATTCTGCGCAGTCTGTGATTCCACGGAAACTGCGGATTCTCCAGGTTGATAAGTATGCATTGTTTTTCCGCGAGTTTCACAGATTCCTGTGATCATTGTGATCTTGCGTGTGAACTAACATCACTGCGAAGAAGGGAACAAACAGTATATGTGAGAGTGAAATTGGTCTAAACCCAGAGCTATCCTGGAGGTGACCTTCCTTACATTCCTGATTTTCTGTTTTGAATTTTTTAAAGTTTTTACTGATCTTACTTTCTAATCATTTATCTTTCTTATAATTGGAAAGTTCTTATTTTCTTCAACTTTGGCTTGGCTAATGATTTGTGATTCAAGGCAGAGACTCTCGAAGTGGAGATAGACTACGTCGGGGAAACACCGAAGTTGGACGAGAATGATCCCAATTATCAGTATTTCAATGCGATTTTTCAATGCTTTCAAGGTAAGAAGGTTACTTAGGTTGTTTCAGTATCAACTCATCTGTAAACGATTCTGTATTGCTTTGTTATGAGTTCTACTATGTTAAGATTGAACCGAACGCTGATGGCGCCGAGGGAGAAGATGCTGTTTCTTCCGGGAAGGACACAAAAAGGATGAAGAAAGCAATCGCTGCTTCCATCTCTTGAGAAAAATGTTTTTGCAAGAAGAAATGAATGTAAGTACTTCTTTTTGGCACCTTCTCCTTCGCTTGTGATGGTTTAATTTTTTAGGACAAATTGAATGATTCTAATGACCCTGAGAGAATGTCAAGGAGGAAGCTTCGTTTGGCTATGCAACCGAGTATTGCAAAGTTAAAGGAGGTTGCTTTTTTCTTCTTCTGTGGGATACCTTGATGTTTATGCTCCCAGTCACAACCTGTCAATCAAAGAATTTTCGAACTTGCTAGATGATTCAAAGGAGCTTTATCAATTAATACTTACAGTCTACGCGTCGCCCTGACGTCGTTGAATGGGCAGATGTAACTTCAAGAGATCCATTTATACTTGTGGCACTAAAGTCTTACCGCAATACTGTACCCGTTCCTCGTCATTGGAATGCCAAACGAAAGTATGTGCGATTTATATACAAGAACATTTAAGAGTTAGGAATGGTTATTATTCAGATACTTATCTGGGAAACGCGGATTCGAACGCCCTCCTTTTGAACTCCCTGACTTTATCAAACGTACTGGCATCCAGGATATGCGTGAAGCTTTGTGGGAAAAGGTAAATCCTCTCATATCTTCTCAGGTCTTCTATTATCTTCCAGTCTATCTTTTCAGGAAGAGAATCAAAATCTCAAATCGAAAATGCGTGAACGTGCCCGCCCAAAGTTGGGAAAAATTGATATTGACTACCAGAAGTTGCATGACGCTTTCTTCAAGTGGCAGACGAAACCACCAATGACTATGATGGGCGAACTCTACTACGAAGGAAAGGTATTCGCATTGACACTTATTATTAATTTTGCAGCATTTTCACAAAAAATATTGTTCGCAGGAAGTGGAGACACTAATGAAGGACAAAAAGCCGGGAAATCTTTCCGATGAACTGAGGATTGCTCTTGGAATGCCAGTTGGACCGGTGCGTTTTTACCAGTTGGTTTTCCAGCGGAAAATAACATTGGATCGTGAATATTTCTCCGGTTTTAGAACGCTCACAAATTTCCTCCTCCATGGCTTATCGCCATGCAGCGTTATGGTCCACCTCCAAGTTATCCAAATATTCGCATTGCTGGACTGAATGCTCCTATCCCTGAAGGATGCGCATTCGGCTATCATGCGGGAGGATGGGGTAAACCACCAGTTGATGACTATGGCAAGCCGCTGTATGGTGATGTGTTCGGACAAGAGGTAAGTTTTAACGAAGTGGTTGTTCACGATTTTTGGACAATCTTCTCGTCTGCGATGTATTATTTCTGAAATGGACTCATTTCTCTCGTCCGAGTCGCTCATCTTTTTCGTTTCCATGTAATTTTTTTATTATATCAGACAGTCTTAGCATCTGCTTTTAGATCCGCCGCTACTAAAGTCCGTGAGGCTTTGGGAGTCCTTCCTTTTCCCTTTTTCTCCTTTTCTTTCTGTCGAATGTGCTATCACTGCCTTGCACATATGCGCTGCATCTTGCTATAAAATTATGTTAACACGTTCGAGGCGGCGTGTACTCCCGGGAGTACACGCGGAAACCCCTCTTTCGGTCATTCGTACAGTATTGCGAAAACACGCGCATATTTTTTTGTTCTTTTTGCGACTGATTATATTCTACTAGCATACATTTACACAATTAACACATCAATACGAAGAAAAAATTGTAAAAAATATGCCAAAAACAATGACGAACGTGAGTTCTGGGCGGAATAGCCTTCGCCTCGAATGTGTTAAGGAGTTCGCGGGGCCGCGTCTGTAGATGACTACTACATCTTCGGAAAAATGCAGTATCGGCGGAGTTGTCGAAATCTGTTACAAAGGCTTGATAGAGATTGATCGTCCAGCCCACCCTCTGTAGCGTTTCTGGGAAAAACGGCGACTCCTAATTTTCGGCATTTCTGCAGAATTGCATTTTTCTCAATTCCACAGGCTCGGCATTTCTCCGCGATACTCACACATTGTTTTCTTCAGTTGACTGTGCTTTTCTCCCGATTGGTCATTTATCTAGAACGGCCGTGCTTAACATCTTCTGAAAGGTGTGAAAGGTCTATCGCGGACATCAAGCCTCGTCCGTTGGTACCGCTTAGGAGAGTGATGCCAGAGAATCGTCGCAAAGGATACGGTTTTAATCTGGAGGCCGCTCATACTCTTGTTCTCTCGTTCCCCATTGCTATCTTCCGATTTCCAGTTTGCTGTCGTCAACAGAAATGGATGTAAGGCCGCGTTCATAGCTTGCAACCATGAAGAAATGCAGAAATGAAGAAGTGCGGAATCTGCAGAAATGACGAAAAGCAATAGATACGTATCGACTTGAAGAAATGCAGAAATGCCGAAACTGCAGAAGTGCGGAATCTGCAGAAATGCCGAAAGTGAAGAAGTGCGGAATGTGCAGACATGCGGAATCTGCAGAAATGACGAAAAGCAATTCATACGTATCGATTTTCCGCACTTTCGGCATTTCTGCAGATTCCGCACTTCTTCACTTTCGGCATTTCTTTCAGATCGATGCGTATGTAATGCTTTTCGTCATTTCTGCACTTTCCGCACTTCTGCAGTTTCGGCATTTCTGCATTTCTTCAAGTCGATACGTATCTATTGCTTTTCGTCATTTCTGCATTTCTTCACGGTCGCAAGCTATGAACCGGCCTAAAGCTGGCACTCTGCCTGCAGCTCTGCCGACTCCGATTCTCCCGGCCAATATGTTTCCATTCCTTTTCACTGTTCTCCAATTGTCTGAGCTCACCCTCTGTAAACAGTGCCTTCGCGCTTAGATGTAGTTATCCCTTATCAGTTCTCATATCCTATTATCGCTTTTCATTTCTGATATGCTAGCATCGCTTTTCATTTCCATTGATTCATGTCCTCTGTCTAGCTTCTTTACCGTTTGATAAGGAGAGCGCCTTCAGTAGTTGCTTTTTACGTCATGTTCTATCACACTACTACTACTAGGTTTTCTTTAATCCATACTGAGTATTTTTTGTTACCCATTTTCTAATTCGTCAGCCTGCAAGTCAAGTGGAGCCTGAGGATGAGACCCGCATTGAACGTCGATATTGGGGAGAGATTGGCTCGGACGACGATTCCGATGAGGAAAGTGAAGCGGAAGAAGAAGAAGATGCCGATATAGGTATTCGATATATTTCAACAGTGATTATTTTTGAGGATGATTTCTCTCTACAATTTTCTGATTGAAGATGGCATTGCGACACCCCTGACAGAAGGAATGGCTACTCCAAGTGGTATCACCACTGGAGTAACAGGATTGGAAACGCCTGACACTATTGAGCTGCGAAAAGGAAGACGTGTCGAAGAGAGGTGGGTTGTGGATAAAAAAATCAGGTGAATGTAATGATTAAAAGAATTGCAGTTTGGCTGGTGCGGACACTCCTGCAGCGGCTTACCACATCATTCCGGAGAAGCGCGTAGATCGTGTTGGAGGGCAAATGATGGCCTCAACCCATGTGTACGACTTGTCGGTATGTTCTGTATGAGTTACCGTCGCGTCATACTTGAATTACTCGTTCTTCAGAAAAAAGTTGGCGTTTCCGATGGCGGTGTAGAGGTTTCCCTCGATCCTGACGCAATCGATCTAGATCAAGGAAAGCTACAGGAGAAATACGATGAACAACTCAGGAAACAGGTATCTTAATTTTTTGATCGATTAACACTGGAATGCGCTCAGTTTCCAACTATTTCATGAGTATTTATTCTTATCGCATTTCACAGCCTCCAAAGAATGTAGAGCTACGGGTTTTAAATGTTATTGTAATTGTTGTATTTGTTAATTAGAGAAACTTTCTGTTTGAAAGATACTAAAGGTGCTCATTGTAGACCAGAGGTGACGATCGTGAAGACTTATCGGATATGGTGGCGGAACATGCGGCTGGACAAAATGTGAGTGAATCTTTCCACATAGTATTAACCAGTCTCATGATTATTTTTCCAGCGGAAGAGAAAAGCACAAGAACAGAAAAAACAGACTCATCAAAGTAAAAAATACAAGGATTTCAAGTTTTAGTTCTCTTAGAACTACGATCGTCAGCTATTATTGTTTCGCTTCTTATAATGTTATGTTGTCCTTGTGAAAATAAACCTATTCATCTTTTCCATGTGTTCTCAGTTATCGATTCGGTTATCAGCAATAAGAATATTTTACTACGATCAATGACTAAGAGGAATGGTGGGCCTGTTGGGCATTCGTAACGAATCTGTAGAGAAGTCTAGTTGAATTTCAAAGAAAACACCTGCGCAGCTCGGCAATGGGAGGGGCATTTGGCACTTTCACTGCTTCACTACTTCCGGTTTACAAGTCTCACTCTGGTGAAACTTGTGAACTCTTGTGAAGCTGGAGCAAGCTCGTCTAGCCACCATGGTAAAACGTGTCAACTAAAAAAGGCTATCTAGATGGGTCGACACATCGATGGGAAGCAGAATGCCCGCTCCCGTCGCCGAACTGCGCCGAAAGCACCCTTTTGATGTTTTTTCCTGGTTTCTATCAACGCTGTTTTAAAGAAACTTGCTGGTCGTCTTTTTTTCAAGTGGGACGATATGGCAGGAAATGCAGAAGATGTAAGGTTGTTTCACAGAGTGATTGCAGCTCTCAAGTGTAAGGCATAAACAGGGCGATACTACTGTCTTAGGCATTTATGATGCTCTCATGGTGAATAACCGCT